TTGGCCAACGGGTATGTCTTGGCGAGGAGTCCAACGTGGGTGCCCCAAGAAGCCGTATGGCCCTAGGCACGCCAGTCGTCTCCCACATGGTTCGGTTCACGGATCTAGCCGTGTCGGTTTTAGTGTGTTTGGGTATGGGCGCGAATCGCCGTGACACTTGGAAGTGTCACCGCGACGCGTCCACAATGTCCCGTGATCGAATGGATCCTGACATGTGACAAGTCGTCGTCGTGGCTCGATCTGAGGAAACGTCCAACTCAAAACCGGGAGTTGCCGCGACAAGACGGTTTAAGTCTCGTAACGCCAAGTCCTGTCCAGTGGTAGTTGTATTATTGAGAACGTCGCGCATTGCTCAGCCCTTCAGCCCAAGTTCCCATCTGCAGAGAATGACCCTTTTGAGAAGTCGACGCAACGACAGATCCCCTTTCTGGGGAATGGTCGCGGTCCAAGCGTTCATCACTAATGGCCCTGAGCCTGGTATAGACTCATAAGACCAGTTCCACAGTAGTGGTCTGACTGCCTTGCTATCGTCGACACTATCCACAGTCGTCGACTGGGCAGTAGACCCATAAGTCCTACTGAGCGCAACACTGTCAACCGCGACACGATACACGAATGGTTCAAGAGTAAACTCTGTAAAAAGCGCAAAAATACGCCCTTACAGAGCTGGTGCAGAGCGCGTCTGGTAGCCAGCCTATCACCGGGAAGATAATCATTGGCAGCACAACCATCTTGCCGTCTCCACAAATTGTCACAAGCGCAGTGATGTTTTGCCGGCTTGCCCCTCCTTGCTTGTGCTGTGTCTTGGTACCACGTTTGCCCACCACTCTCTCCTTCCCTGTGTATCCAGTTGGAAATCCACTCTCATGCATCCCATAGATGCAGTCCGGCTCGACACCCATATCGACAACATATTTCTTCACCAACTCGACCCATGACTTGACTGCAGCAGGATTCAAGCTTTTTGCATGTTGTGAGTCAAGAGGCTTGCTCCAATGGGTCTGTAGATTCTCCTGGTGTTGATCCAAGAACTTAAAAACCCACTTTCTCCCCACCAGCTAGCAACCCGAGCCAAGAACAGCTTCCCGAGCTGCATTTGCATACTCCTCAATCTGCCGATGGGAAAGCAGCATCCCCATGCTTGCTGACTCCTTGATGAATTCCACCAGTGACCATTCTTGTGCTGGTGTCAAGCTCTGCTTGTTGGCACTTGCCTCCTTCCTACTTTTCCCTCCCTGTATGCGTTGGTGTAGTGTACCATAGGATATGCCATGTTCATCAGCCAGGGTTTGAATGTATTTGGGTTTCCCTATTGTCTGAGGCCTGGCTTGCTGGGTACAATACTCTGCAAGGGCATGCGTGATCTTTTCTTGTTTCCGTGCATGCAAATGGCCTTTGACACGTTCAGACTTGGCGCGGTTGACCATGAGATGTGGGAGAGTCTCAATGGGGATTAGGTTACCAGACAGAGAAGATCCACTTGGAGGGAAGGCGGTGGGAGCTAATCAACAAACACGCTGTCATGCTCATTCACATGTGAGCCTTGTGCAACCTCTAGCTCATGCTATGCTGGTCCAATTTCTTAGTATAATAGGAAGAAATAGTAGCTAGTATGGCCTTCTATTGCTCTCAAAAAAAATTTGCTCCCAAAAGCTCACTTATGTGGTCGCAATTGCAGAAGGGGAATCTTGATCAGGTTGTGATGTGCCTCAAACAGAAGCAAGTGGGCTTATTGTCCACGACCTGCTTTCTCTAGTTTTGTGGAACTTGTTTGGGACAAGGAGGAAGTATATTAGATCATATTTATAAAGTATGGTAGGCTACCGTGGTCTGTGGAACACTACAGAACAAATTCATCCATTGATGGCTCTTACACTGTATCTATCAGAGACACAGGAATTGACTGTTGTGGAAGGAAGGAGAGAGTGATGATGGGGACAGCCACCCATCACTCTCTCATGTCACAAGAAGCAGTCATGCTCTCCCTCACTTGACCATCCCATCCACTTAGCAATTTGCCTTACTGAGTTTTGTTAGAACGGTAGTAGAGCTACTGAGGGTAGAGAACAGTGAGATCCAGTATTTGGACTCAAAGTGCATCAATTTATCAAATTTAAATTACTAATCTATTTTGCAGAACCCTGCAAAATAGCTATATCCTTAACAGACGCTGCAGACCACTTTTTCTGCTGAATTGCATTGTGGTGCCTGTACATGAGCTACTTGTGTGTCACATTGTTCAAATATGTTTGCCTCTCTACACACAGGTGGAGAGCTCTGGTGCACAAACCAAGGATGTTATGCAGTGCTGATACATCAACCAGAAGCAATATGAACAGAATTTAATGAGCTAAGGCACTGTCTAGGCCTGAATAATAACTGCCAGAGCACATCAAAACAACCAAAACCATCAGTGGAGAAATGTCCTGCTAGGAACCAATTAGGGAGGTGCCTCCAGTGATGGCCTCCAATCAGTGCTTCCAGGGGGTGGTTTGATGGCCTCTGGAGAGGGTCTGGAAGCACTTTGACGCAATGAATTGGAGCTCCCTGGGGTGCAATGTGAAACGGGGTCAGATCCAACAGAAACATAGAGTGATTTAATCTTTTTTTTCAATGAAAAATATCATTCTTTCTTTGTTTCTATCTTCAGCAAAAAATCAATGTCTATCCCCAGTGAGAATTGATTAAAAAAATATGATCAGTTTACAATTCTGTTTTCGGGGAAAATATATGTCTATTTGTGGTAAAAATCGAGCTGTAAATCGACATCTATTTTGAGTTTTTTTTTTTTCTGGAACAGATCGGTGAAAATCGGACTTCTAGATTGTAATGTGTTCTCCGCGGAAAAAAAATAAGTCCCCCCGCAGTGTTAGTGAAAAACAAAATTCTATCATGCAGACAATATGGATGAGACGACTCGTTTTCGTGAGCCCCGGGTGTAAATTTAACCGTGATTCTCAAGGACTCATGGACACCACGTAACTGTCAAACTTCTAAATAACCCTTCTCACATGAAAAGCAGGGAAGGTGGAACTTACCGGTGAAAGCCACAGAGCCCGGACCACATGCGCGGACAGGCAAATCGGCACCACAGCCAGACAGATCACCCGGGGCATACGCCTGTGTGCACTAGATATCGAAGTCAGGGACCGCAAAACAAAGCACCAAGTAAACAGAAACGCACTCCACAGTTGACATTCGGGCACGACACACCCGCGCACCCCGCAGCGCTGATTGCCATGCCGTCCGTAAAGCCCTGGATATTGCTGATATCATACGCCTGCGCGGTGAACTGGCTGCCGGTATCTAGACACACCACGCGCGCATCCCGGTCAGCAACGAACAGATTCAAGGAGCCGCAAAAAGCGCCGCGCACCGAGATTGAACTCCCCGAGCGTGCAGCTCTCGCCCTTGGGCCCGCACTGCGGGTGCGAGGCAAACACGCGGCCGACCCACGCGGTGTTGATGTTGTACGTCGCGCTCGCGCCCGGGGCGATGGCGCCGGGCTGTGGGCCTGAGTAGGATGCGGCGTCGCCGCAGCGCGGGCTGTACCCGCACTTGGTGTCCGCGATGACGGGGGTGATGGGGCCGCCGCAGCGGTTCACGAATGTGAACTGTTAGGCTCGATGAGGATCTTCACAGGGTGCGTGCGACAGGAGGAAGAGGACGGGAGCGAGAACGACAGACGCACCGGATGGCTGCCCTGGCGCGCGCTGAGCTCTGAGCGACGTGCTTCCTTCGCCTCGGCATGCGCGATTCCAGAAGACACGGCGAGTGCGAGCAAGAGAGATTGGAGGGTTGCGGAAAACATGGCTTGAGTCAAGATGTAAGAGAGGCTAGGCAATTCGAAGAGGGACTAAAAAAGGGAGACCAGCGAAAGTAGATCGAGCCTGAGGGTGAAGAACGAACGAGGCGGGTCCCGCCTTTTAAACGCGGCCGAAACAACGAGATGGGCAGCAACTGTCGTGACCAGATCCCTGCGGAGTTGCAACTGCCGTAGCTCTTCTGTTTCAGGTGCGAACGTAACATCATCGGATCGTTCAGTTCGATTCAGTCGGAACGCTAGCGCCGGGAGAAGCGCTCGGCATAGCCTAGCGATGTGGCTAGATGAGTGGATGCTGCGTCTAGATTCGCCTTGAATAGAGAGTAGACGAACGAGGAAGATCGTAAACGGTCAGGATGTTCTGTTGTTTGAAAGCAGGGAGATCTGATCAACGTTGGATGATGGCTATCCGGTCACCTGATGATGCGCCTCTCTCAACTTTGGTCCAAGCGAAGCTTCAGAATGGGGTTTGTTGTACATACTTATACACGGAGACAAGTTTCACCAAAGCCCAACAAATCTTGGCCCATCAATCAAGTCCGTCGCATTCTGCTCGCCCTGCGCCTCAAGGCCGGCCGGGGCATGAGCCGCTTGTAATTCAATCTGGGCCCGCTCCTGCGCGAACGCATGGTTCTTTCTCACGCGCTCGAACATCCACGGATCCACCTCCTCGGCAACAATATTCCGCGGCAACTCACCCCACACAACTACTAACCCGCTCAGGCCCTACGCCGGATTCTTGATGAGTCGGGCGAACGCTCCCCGGGTGCGTCGCCGTGTGGGACGACCCACACGCGTCGCAACCGAAGAATGGGCGTGCCATCGTCGACTGCGGTGGGCTGAGATCGTTCGGGATAGACACCTGAGACGGGAATGGGGATGCGGCCGCGACCATTGGGCATCTTAAGTACGTGTGCAGTTGCTTGCAGGCGGACACGGGCCGCTAGCCTGAGTGTTGACGTTTACATGGGCGGCTGGTCCCTGGCGCTTTTGTAATGCGGATGCGGTGCTTGGCGTCGCGCTGGGCGAGTGGGAAAGAATCTTATCTTATCGATCCTTCACTGGCACGTGGCAGCCCATGCGTCATGGCTCGGGATAATCACTGGCAGGGATAACAACCCTTGACCGCTCGGTGGTTTGGGGAGTGAAGATTGATTTCGATGAGGCCTCGCCCTCATCGACGCAATTGGTCCATTTTGGAGACTTCATATGTTCGAATCGATTATCCAGAAGCACAGGAGAGACTCTCCGTCAAGATGGATCGAGCCGAAAGGACCCATTTAGAAATACTGATGAATCCGCTGCTTTTTAGACTGATCTAATTGTGCTGCTTGTGTGACTCGCGGTCCTGACCGGGGCGATCAGCATTGATAGGAAGAGCACGGTCTTCACGTCTCGACACGGCCTCAAGAAGACCGAGAGAGAGAAACAGGGCTGTTCAGAATCTACGACTGGGCAGACTTATCTCTGCCCAGTCTCTTCAAATACCCACGACCACGACTGAGAACCTCGCGGCAGAAACACCTCGGTGAGACTGCAAAGCTGTGGACCCGGGTGACTGGCGAGCTGACCGCTTTTGCCGCGAATCCTGTGGTGAGCGCATGCATTTCAATCACACTCCGCGCGACTTGACTCTGATTCTTTGGTTGCTGTCTCTCATAGGACCCGAACCCCGCTTTACTGCCTGGGCTCTCCCAAACGCTTGATCCGACGGCTCCACGGTCTGTCGGACCGATTGTGCTGTCTCCACAGCTCTTGCGGATTTCAGAAATTTCTCTTGGAGCTTCAGTCTCCCATCATCTCCAGTGCAGGCACTGACAATGACTACCCGCCGGTCGACCACACAATCCACGTGATTGTACGCGATCACGTGGCATTCAATCTATAACACGCGAGTTATCATTACTTCTATTTCAGACGCGAGTGGATTTCGAATGTCAATTAGATATTATTCATGAGCTAATTCGGATTATATTTCGTCTTTATCTAGTGTTTCTAGACGTGCCGCAAGTGCAGTCGACGTCGTTCCATCCAGTCCGAAATCACGGCTGATACGGGTAGCCGCCGCTTGTGCCGGGATTCCAATATTGTTGATCCTGCTGCCCTTGCGAAGGCTGCCAGTACGCCGCAGCACTCTGGAATGTCACGGGACTGTACCCTTGGGTCGGCTGCGCATATCCGTAGTTGGGCGCGTAGTCGTATCGAGGCGCGGTGGGGAGACGCTGCTGGACCATTTGCGCGTGGGTGTCATGTCGGAGGTACTCTGCGTACGCGGGATGCTGTGGATGCATGTGAATCCCATATTCGTACCCGGGCGTGCCCGGGCGTGCTGTGCCGGCCGCTCCCGTCCATCGTGCCGTCGAGGCGGAGGGATGATGTGTATCGGTGAGGTACACCCCGCTAGGAATAGGGTCTCCCTGTGGGGGTGCGTGGGTTCGGGCGCTCCACGAGTCCGCAGTCCTCGGCCTTGTCGGGAGGCGCGACGAGGCGACATTTGATCCGCACCTCGGCGCGGGTGGATCGAAGTATATCTTGCTCTTGCCATATGGGACCGTTGGGGAATTGGAGACGTCCTCCCGGACCTCTTTGAACTCGCATTTTATTCCCTTCTTCTTGCACCGTTTACACGGCTCGGCTCGGCACTCGTCCGTCGGGACGCACTGGGCTTGGAGTCAGCTGCGGGAGCAGACAAGCCGGGGCGGTGTCAGGGATGCCTACCTTGTCCTTGCTTTTTCGGCAAGCCTTGCAGGCCACCGGGTTTCGCTCTCGCGGCTCACGCTCGTTTGAAGATGGAGGCATAGATTGGGAATGCAGGAGGGTGAGGCGCGTGCGAGAAATTTGCGGTGGGTTACAGTGGGGACGGAGGGCGTTTCTTTATAATAACAAACCAAGCGTGGGCTGTTCCAAGGCTTGCCCATGCCGATTCGAAGTCTCAGATTGCAGTATCGACGCTGTAGACAGACTCGCCCGGAAGGCGAGGGGACTCCATCCCACAAGCTGTGCATGACTCACACCTTTGCTGTTGAAGCAATCGTCAGCCTCGAAACAACGAGCGTCGCAGGTGCTGCAGGCTTGATGATTGTGGATTCAAATCCGGACTACAGCTTTGAATTGGTATTCTGATGCTCCAAGAACTATGTGTGTGTGATGACTTCCACGATGAGATCTCATCGAAAAAATTGAGAGTTTGAATTTTAGAGGCAGTCGAGTGAGCGCAGTCCACATCGTGTTCCTACCGACCAAGCGAGGAGATGCATGCTCAATCGAATACACAGCCTGTTCGATCCTCCCCGCAAAGAACAACCGTCAGAAAACACAAGGGACCGTAACCATCGCGAGAAGAGTCGCGGCAGCACAAGTCCGTCTTCCGCGCAATAGCATTCGAAGCTGATAGGCATCTTTGCACCCACTCGGTACACGCAGCGGCGGCGCGGGAAGGACAGCCGTAATTCCAGTGCAAATCCCTCGATCATTGGGCTGTTCAAGCCGGCGTGTCGTGGGGCCCAGATCAGATACTTTCAGCCACCGGCACCATAACGCAGCAAATACAATCACAAGCTCACTGAGGACAATTGCTGATTCTTATTGTTGGTGGCTTGCATGGAGGCGTGAACTGCAGTGAGAACTTGACAGGGGGGCTTAAGGGAGAAGCCTTGACTCGGGGCTCCGACCTGCTCTGCCTCCAAGGCTGTAGAGGCCCATTTGTTCTTCCACATCACCGGTCCGCAGCCTGGCTGATGCTTTTGATTCGAAGAATCTAAGCAAGTATAACTGAGGACGGTACCTCCTGAGCATAGTCTTCTCCCGCGCCCTGAGATATCAGATCTGAAACCTCCGTGTCCCGCGGCACAGCCTTGCCCTGCCTACGGCTGAAATGCACACAGAGGTCCCACAAGTCGATCGGAGATGGCAGGGCATCATCGCAGAGTAGGTGGCCCACCTTTCCTATCTAGATGACATGTGAGAGTTGGGAGGTATGGTCGGCTTCACAAGCGTCGGCCATATCGGGCCGACATCGCTGGACTCATCAATCCTCATATATTCACGCATCGCAGCACAGCTGTGTATCGAGCCATTTTCGAGCTTAATATCGACATCTATATCGGATATGGCCACCCACTCGTCATGCAGGCGCCGTATGATGGTATCTTGATATCGATAAAGTTGGTTATTTGGTAAGTAGCCGAGAACCGGTGGCCGAACTGACGTACTACTTCATGTGCAGTCCAGAAAATAAGCATATATCATTGTATGCCGTGAGTACGTGGTTGTCAAATCCACTGGACCGCATCCACCGACGCCGCAAACGACGTCACGGGATCAAAGTTGAACTCCCGGACCGCCCGGGCCGCAAAGTTGAACGTGTCGGCGTTTGCGAGCATCTATACAGTACGACGGGCCGTGGAGGGTCAGATCAGATGGCCCTCTAACAGGCCGAAGCGTACCTTGCGATACGAATCCCACGCCTATCGACATAGCACCGTCAAGCGCAAATCAATCACGCATTGAATGGAACTCACCACCGCCTCGCCGACCGCCAATACGGCTCCACGCATCAACTTGTCGTTGCCCGGCCCGGACGCCCAATCCGTGGTAGAGACCCACTGAGACGAGGAAACAGTCAATCGGATGCTACAAATACGCCAATAGCAAACAGCAGGACTAGGACGGACCGTAGAGTTGCCCGCCAGAAGTGCACGGGGTCCCTCGAGGTCCTGGAACCCAAGGGACTGCGCTGCAACGCCCTGTGCGAGTGCCGTAGCCACTACGGCCTCTGCATCTTCGTCGCCCAAGGGGCAGAGGACAGCGAGAGTTCGCTTCAGGTTGTGCGCCGTGCTGTCCACGCCAGAGTCCCGGTAGACGGTGATCTCCGCGTCGAACGAGCGGAAGGTCCGCCAGAGACCGAACTCGGCCTCACTCTCGTCGAGGATGCGTAGGATCTCTGGGTCCGTGCGCCACTAGAAATGCACACCAGATACTTAGATTTGAAACTTGTGAATGTTTGGGACAGTAACTTACAGCGTTAATTTTAGCTGTTGTCTAAGTCGCATGGAATGATCCGCGTCAACCAAGGAAGGAGCAAACGTGCGTAACGTACAGAATATTTCATCAACGCCAGCACGACTTTGCGCTGCGGCAGACCCAAATTACGCAGCTCCACGTCAAGCTCGTCGTTCGGAACCACCTGTAACCTGTCCCGTGAATTCTTGTATACCCAGTGGCAAAGCGCCACTCGCCGTCTCGTAGCTCGTGAACGTCTCCCGAAATAGCGGGTGCCGAGTCAGCCTCTCGGCCATCGCCATCCAGCGCGCAACAAACTCGTCGCGTGGGACATCAGGGGGGATCTCGTGGATGACCACGGTGCCTGCGGGACGCGCAGCTGGAGCGGTCATGTTGGGTCTGTGTGTAGGAGGTAAAGCTTGTCCTGAGGCGGAGATAGACTCATATAAGACATGGGGAGGGAAGCATCTCGGTAGCTATAACGTAGGATCTGAAGTCTACTGAACGTCAAGCCATGCGATTTGAGGTTCGACTCGGGACATGTGATGGTTTTCTTGCAAGAAAGGACGGCACCGGTGACGACCTCATCACGGATTCACAAGAAATTCGAGAAACGGAGCAACTATTTGTACAGCGTTCGGGATATCTATCAATCACACTACTTGACGATCTTGGATACCATGCGCACAGCCGAATAGTAGCTGCCGTCCTGAATCTTGCCACCAGCACCGTCGGATTCCTCCGCGCTCCCGATGAGCTCGTGGATAGTCTGGTTTTAGATATGGTTCGTTCGTTCGTGAGAACGCGGGGCTTGGAGGGCGCAATACGCACATGCATGGCCTCGGTGAACACCGAGTCGTCCTGAGGAATCAAGATCAGCGCTTCGGTCTTCCGATGTAGAACGGAGAAGTTCACCTTGACCTCAGCGACCGAGATCACAACGTTCTCGTCCTCGAGTGTCCTGAGGCCCAGAGCGCGGATCTGCGGCGCGGCCACATGGTGGGGGATCCACTACGAGCACCCCCATCCCTCATCAGTCTCCGCTCATGCCGCGAGTGTGCGAGCGAGAGGTGAAGCGTACCGTTGACACGCCGGCTGCGAACCGACCCTGACCCGACCCGTCCGAGAGTTTGCCGAAGTTGTTGATGATCTCAGCACTGTGGTCGTGCGGCGAGGTACTCGGATGCAACCGCAGGAATCCTACTGCCGCCTTCTTCTCCCCCTCGATGGGGACAGTGGCCGGCGCGGCACCAGTGCGGACGACGTCCGCAATGGAGAAGAAGCTGTTTGACATGAAGCCGAACTCCTTCTCGCCCTTAGCGAAGGATTCTCGCAACACGGGGTCCGTCAAGAGCTGTCGAGTCGCGTCAGTTAGGATGGGCAGGAGGTGAAAGCAACCGGACGCACCTCGACAAAGTGGTCGGCAGTCGGAGAAAGGGCCAGGACCATGACGGAGGTCTTGCGTCCCGGGAGACCGAGCGTGTCAGCCATACCAGCCAGCTCGTCGTTGGGGAAAACCTAGAACCACGCCTTCAGTCAGTATCAAAGACGTGGCTCGACGGAGGATGCGCGTTCACCATCTCGAACTCGGTGAAACATTTCTTGAAGACAGGCAGGTTCTTGACCGCATCTGCGACTCCCATGACGCGCTGCGACAGCTCCTCTTGGGAGAGGTTCAGACCAGGCGCGACTTGGTGGAAGGAGATGACTCCGACGGACTGGGGAGGAGCAGACATCAGTGGTAATGCGTCGAGCACCAGTCCGCCCATACCTCGCACTTATATTGAGCACAGAACGCGCCGGGCAATCTCCACCAACGTCAGTCGAAGAAAGCCTTTGGCCTCCAACAATAGCACTAGCGGTCATGGGGATGCTCATACACCTCCATCTAGCAAAGGCACCAAGGGGCATCAAGGCAGATGCGCCACTTCGTGAGCGAACAGAGACCCGAATTCCAATGCATAAAGCAAGAGCGAGTTACAGGCTCATCAGTGATCGGTGAAGTGGTGGTGAAGCTGAGCTACGTGACATCACGACGTTACGGACAGCAATATCTGTTGGGAGTTTACACTTGCGAGTGCACACGAGCTTTATTGATCCAAGGGTAATATATATTGAGACTGAGACAAGACATCACAAAAGAAAAATGTAGATTAAATATGACTTGGGTATACTGGGACAAAGGGACATAGATTTGGGAGAAACCTAAATAGATAGACACTACTGGCACTGAGCGTTAGGACCAGAGACCGCATCAGTCATTCTTCATTGGGCGTCTGTTTGCAGACCAGAAGCGTTCGAGCGAGTAGGCGATTGAGGCAAATGCGGAGCCGGATCGACCGGCGTCTGCGTCTGGGATTCACTGAGCAGCGGCAAGCCCAGCGCATTCATTGCGAGCTGCGGTGACCCAGTCGGATTCCAGGGGAAGTACGCGTCAGACCCTCCGTCCCCCATCCCCCCACCAATATCCCACTGCTGCGCCTGCGCAGCCAGCAGGACCTGAATCTGGACGTCCCTTTGTTCTTGGTCCTGCGCGATATCGAGTTTGAGTTGAGAGCCTTCAGCGCTGGCTAGGTAGGATTGGATAAGCGGGTGGGAAACTACAGCGTCCAGATCGACAGGACGCGCAAAGCTCGTTTTGACAGAACCGAGGGTGGTGCGAGCCTGCTGCTCGTTGAGGTTGTTCTCTGGTCCGAGATGCCGACGAGCAACGAGGAACTTGATCAGCAGGGGCGTGAGCTGGACGACAGTCTTTGCGCGGAGACTGATGCTTTCGAGCTCTGGGAGGATCGTCGGTGAAGTGGCGAGCGCCGACAGGGCAGCTCCAGGAACGGTCGTGGGTGCCGATAATGCACGCCTGGAGACTGGATGCGCGAACGGGTTGTGCAGGTTCATCAACACTCCAGCGCCAGTGTCCTCCAGGCTTAGATGCTTCACTGACGTAGGAAGCGCAGCCAGTGCTTGCTCGACACTAGCGGCGCGCATGCAATCGCTGGTGATGTGGATTGACTCGAGTTGCGGAAGGCGTCCAAGGAGACCGAGGAAAGCATCAGGGAGCCGACGGAGTGAGCGAGGCTGGCGTCCCCAGTGTCTGATCTCAAGACAGCGCAGATTCGGCGCTTCGATCGACGAGAGAAACGCCATGGGTTGTCGGGACGTACTCCGGCGACGTCGTACGTGGAGTTCGAGCGTGTGCAGATTGGCAAGGACGACGGAAGGGAGGTGCCCCTGGATGGCACTGTCATCAACTGTGAAGCGAGCCGTCTGGAGTTGAGGCTGGGCAAGGAGGACGGCGAGTAGGTCATCAGCCGAAACAGATGCTACTTCCGAATCTCCACCCGCAGTAATGACAGTCAGGGAATGCAACTTCGATGAAGCAAACGGCAGATCCTGAACGCGAAGCATGTCAGTATCAATGGCCACATGCGAGACACGCGGCGCACCGAGGATCTGCAGTTTCGCCCAAAGCTGATGTGTCCCAGCCTCCACCGGCGGCATTGGGACAGCCGTCTGAGCTTGGAGAAGAGCCGCCGCAGACAGATCGTTAACCCAAAGGCTGTCGACCGTAGTAACCTTCACCCGCTCGAGCTTCGGAACGTCTCCCACTTGGATTTCCGCCAACCGTGCCAGCTCGTCCCGGTTGACCTTGAAATCGACGTCAGCCCAGCGACGGGCAAGCGACATGAGCGGTTCGATATGCGCGGACCCGTGCGGCGACCCATCGGCGTCGTCGAACGTTTTGAAGCTGAGCGAAAGTGGCACCTCGCCCGAGCGGCCTAGCCACGTGCGTATCACGTCCGCACGGACAGCCCACTTCCTGCGATACACCTCCCACCTTCCCCGAGTTCCAAGCGGGCCGGGAGTGCGGGGCGCATCGACGTGGAGCTTCGACCAGAGCCGGGGGGTGGAGTACGCGATTGACCGCCATGCGCTGCAAACACGACCCAACAAAAGCGGTGCTTCACTGGCCCGCATGGCGCAGTTGCGGTCTTCGGGCATACAGGCGAGGAAGATCTCACGGATGACGTCGTCGGGCATGCGCACAACGGGTGGGAGTGAGGCTTCGTGGCCGAGGAGATAAGCCGTCCCTTTTGCCTCTTCGGACGTGGTTTGGGCTATGGGGTGAGAAATGGAAGTCATCCCGTTGCGAGACTGGGCGATGAGGGACTGAGGATGCTCCAACTGGCACTCAGAGGGGATGGAGTTGGTGTCTAACCCAGCTGCGAAAGCAGACTGCAACGACTCAAACGTGGAACTCTCAAATTGGGACATAGTGATGGTGGGCAGTAAAAGGACGTTGGGAGGTCGAAAGCTGGAGAGCCTGTGATTTTATCCCCTTTGCGGCTCCGAACGAAGCTTCAAGTCAGTTCGAGTCAAGGTCAGTTCGGCAAATACCGCACCACTGATCGATCTCCACCTGTTCTCTTCCACCCCTGTCTTGAGTGTTCATTTCGTTTCTGAAACATTCCACGAAAGCCCACCTCGTTCGTGGTCCATCAGCTTTGTTCTCGAATGTCCTTACCTAGAGTCGACTCCGTGATCCTAATTTCAACACAACACCGACCATGTCAATAAGAATCTGCTGAAGTCCTTGTTCAATTTGCTGAGTAGTGTGCATTTCTGCAAGTCCTCGGTCAATAGTTGTAATCTCCATTTCTCTTCTCTGCTGGCGATTCAATTTGGGTGCCAGAATGTCACTACAATGGTCAAAACTGCACTTGCGTCTTGCTCGTTGACTCCTACAATTCCCCTCGGGGCACGTGCGCGACGTGTCAGTTGCTCGTGATCCAGCATAGGCGTGACTGTGATGTGTCTGTGACCGGAGCTTTCCTCTGATCCTCCGAGACGCTGCTGTCCGAGTACGACCGCCAGTCGATGAGAACACTGAATACATCCTTCGCATCCACATTCTCGTGCTTCCGCTGCAACAGGTGGCCACATTTCTAGAGTCCTCTCACGGGTGCCCATAAGCATACATCTGTAAAACGGCGTTATCGCGCCACGTCCCGGAATCCAGTGACGACGCCTACACGCCACTTCTACGCTCATTACTGAGCACTGGGACGAACCACTCATTGATATCGCCCTCGGCGTGCTGCTTGAAGTGCATCCGGCTACGTGCAGTCGGGTACACGCTAACCCATGCTTCCACAGTACAGCATCCATCTCCTCGTGTCCTCTTTCCTCGGTTGCACAAGAAGGAAATGCAAGCGGACCGGACCCCGATGTGCGCTTCCCAACCCCTCCCTCTCCCTCTGGTCAACTCGTCGGATGAGACATGCGCTTTCTGGTAACTCCATGCGCTGGCCGAATGTCTGAGCCAGCTGCTGAGCGGTCCATCGCACCTGAGTGTAACTCGGCGGGAAGATCCGCATGTGAACGGTCTTTGCAAGAGTGGGATGAAGGGGACGAGCAGCACGCCCGAGTGAATCCCGATCTGGGTTTCTTGCGCATCTGTCGTCTCCCGCCGTGCTGCATGTGGGGCGAGGACAACCTGCTTTTGCAGTGGCCGCTCACCTGCAACTCGTCCCCATAATCAGGGGCTTCTCGTCATTCGGTTCTCTTAACGCACTGCAGATTGTCGATTGTCGTCGCGCGTCATTGACCCTCGAGACACCTCCGTCCGCTTCTCCTGCCCTCGGTCATCATGATGAAGGGCATGGGCTCGGCTGCATCGCCTTCTTTCGCTTTTTCCCGGATCTCTCAACTTCGATGAGGGTTTGAGCTGGCGCACTCGCTCGACACACAGTTTGTTGACTTTTGCGGGCCGCAATACTCGTTATTAACTCCAACACCCTTGGATCTGCGTCAGGATCCTTTACTCACCGCATGATAAATTATTAGTGCAGATCCCCAGACACTAACCGAGATGTTGAATTGTCTCGCATGTGGTCCGGTGGCGGACAAGGCCTATTTCCGCTTCGAGATTCGCTAATAGCGTTGCGATTCTGGCTTTTCGCTACACTTCGGATATGTTACCAAACCATGTATTTCTGTAACAAACTGTCCGCGATATAACGTATTCCATGGAAAGGAAGGTTGAATACATCTTCGGCTACCAGTCTTCAAGCTCCTGTTTCAAAACTACAAACTTGTACAGTTTCAATTGCGCTGTGATTGGAAGTGAACCGATTTCGAGCTCTGTTTCTGTGGTAGACTGCAACGAGAAATGTCAGGGTCTGTATCGGATGGTCAAGAGGCAGCTGTCGCGGACCTCATCTAGACCTGGAACGATTAGAGATAGAAACTCGATCATCCTCGCCAACTGTCTTGATTCGGGCTTGAACTTGGAAATCCCCTTTGCCAACTCCGTTTTTTCTTCATTAGTCAAGCCCCCATGTATCTCCCCTAGAATCCGCTCAGCCTCCCTCCTGCGCCCGCGCTCATGCTCCATCTCCTGACTCAGAAGATCGTTTGCGCGCTCGATAGATTCCAGCTCCGTCTGATATTGTGTGTAATCCTGCACACGCAGCTGCGCGTTATGCTTCGCTTTCCACTGGGCCGCTACCGTGATCTGTCGCAGCTCCGCGTTGAGCTGTTTCAGGGAGAGGTTCTCGGCGCGGAGAGATTCGAGTTGGAATTGGATGCCGGGGGTATAGGGCTTGAACGACGATTCAGATGCGGATGAGAGGGAAGACGAGGAGTCGGATCCGCTGCTCAATTCGGAAAAATCCACCTCGGATTCGGTTGGGGCATTGCTACACGAGTCAGACAATGTGAACGACGAAGCACCGAGGTCGGGTATCTTTGGATGAATTCTGCTAAAGGTCTGATGTCAGTGCAGCGGATCGGGATTGGGAAGTTATAGTTTACTGCGCAGGCATTTGTTGAGGGAAGAAAGAGGGAGCTTTCAATTAGCCTCACGTGGCTTGGGCATTCCTCATTGACACATCACTCCAGATGCAGGCCCTTCGGATTTACTACCTTCCGCTCGGCACGACAGGCATCGACAATCTACTTTTCTACCACTCGTAGCAGACACCGTAGAATACTCAGTGCTTAGCAAATGTCCAGGACCGACTACGAAGAGCAATGGACAAATGACTAGGACATGGCGGTAGTGTGTGGCTACTAAGAATGCGCGCGATACCATAGGACAATGCATTGACTACACCCAATGAACTTCGCCGACGAACGCCAGCAAGGTCCGAGGTAATCCAATGACGGAGTGAGTCTGACGCCCACATCGCATCCACGACCTCCAGGTTTCACGTTCAGATCTGGCTCAGTGAAGAAGAGATACGGTGATGCGCTACCGATCGTCACGCGTTCGATGATCCCCGCAGAAACCCGGGGCAGAGGCTCGCTGGCAGTTTTCGGGGTGGAAGCCGAATTCGAGGCGGAGACCGGTGGGAAGGAGCAATGCTTGAAAAGCCATTCTATTCCATCCCGGAGCACATTACCCACCCCCGGGGGTGTCTACGACTCTCCCGCTGAGAGCATCTCATCCGTCCGTCCGCAAATTCATGGTTCCCGCCATTCGAAGGAGGCTTTGTGGAGCCGCAGGTCAAGCAGAGCCAGTGTTTCCTTCATTCGAGGGTACAGAGAACGTCCACGAGCCGTCCCTGCTTCAGCTGGCCTTCCACAACGTAAGGAAGGGGCATGCCCAAGGTAGGCGGCTGGTACCGTGCGAGCGAGGTGATTGTGCGAGCCTAATCATCTGTAGAAAGTGAGCCTTGTATATCGCACATGGAGAGGAGATGCTCACTGGAGGTGAGCGGAAGGCCTTGCACGGCGGAAACAGAAGGAGCTTGGTGCTAATTCCGCAGGACGATCGACCAGATGAATGTCTCCTTAGTGGACTCCACGTCCTCCAATTCCGGCAGCATATCGGCATTTCATTGGAGCATAGCTTGCAGGTTGACATAGCGACCTGGCGCGGCAACTTCTCTAACGACTGGGAGTGGTGTAAGCTGATGACGACGTGGTGCGGGCGAGCCAAACGAAAGAGACGGTGGAGGGGTGTGGTTCTCTTGAATTCTTCAACTAGACGCTGAACGAGCTTCATGTGCCTCGGTCGCAGGTGCTGGTCGGATTGCATTGGGCATCGTTATCAGTAGTCGCTGGCGGTGGCACGAGAAAAGTGGCCGTGACAGCGTGACTTGGAACGGATCGACTAAGACCACTTCGAGCACCAGTTCTGCACACATCCGGGATGCCTATTCGGAGTGTTGGCGACTCAATCCGTATCCATCTCTCAGAAGGCTTTGTGGCGCCCTTGCTGAAGCGCAGCCAAATCGCAGCGCACCGATTCACGTTGGTCCTTTCTCTCATATATCGGTCATGGGACCTGACCCTTCTACGGCCTCGATATACATAGGGACAAACTGTTATGTATCGAGTCCAGCCCAGAAGGGAGGGAGAAAATCCAAAAATTGTCGCACTGGAACCATGGGCATACAATCAAGACGACACGAGGTCGCCTGTTGCGGGATGGTGCACAATCCTCACCACGCAGTAAAACCCATCGTCTTGACCCCGTCCCCACCTCGTTGCTTTGCTCCTCACCACACATCCCCGGCCGTCATAACAGTCACTATCGATAGTGCCATCGACAGTCGACGAAGGATTACGGGTGTGCTGGGAAACACGCCGACGTGATCAAGATCGCCGTGCTCGCGATCTCATGGAAATCGGGTGATGGAGACAGGCGCCGGGATGCTGCATGAGCCAGCATTCCGCCCAGTACAGATCTGGCGAGCCTAAAGCCGATGGCGGATGCGGAAACGACAGGCTGCGCTTGCGTGATCTACCGCGTCCATGCTCTCGCTCGTCAAGTCGAGGTCTCTGAGCGACACAGAAGCGATCGGCTACTCGACAATCTGGACGTGGAACGTCCTGTGCGAATCAAGCACCGCAAAGATGCGCTGTGGTGGTGCAAAGCAAGCTGGAGCCCATGGATGCAGGGAAACACGTTTTTATGTAAAGGGAACTCAGCCTCGTGTCATGGAAGAATAGCTCTCATTTTGACTTAGCCTGCTGCAGTTTCAGGAACATCTGGACTTGAAACGCACCGGCCGTGCCGAAATGACAGCGTGCGCGTCAATGCGGGGCCAGTATGGCTCTACGCTGGATGACCAGCGGCGGCTCCTTCCCTTTGGTCAGAGTTTGTTGATTCCAGAGTAAGTTCATATCCAACCACTGAGCCGCAGCTCAGGACGGCATTGTGAAGAACTCTCCGAGCTACATATGAGGTCAAGCCCGCTGCCGCGAGCACGGCATCGAGTGCTTGATCCCTTGCGGCGACCACGCGTCCAGACTCGATCACGTTCGTCGAGCTTAGATGAGCTAACAACGCTGGAGTGGGGGCTCGCCTGCCTGCATGGTCAGAAAGACGGCTCTAGATCGTCTTGGCAGATCAATTGGCGTATGGAGTTGGGAAATGGTGGTCAAACTGCTCACCTTTATTCTAGTCTCCATCTCCATATTAGATTCGATTAGCTTGACGCCGCGGTCCAGGAGACTCACGCAATCTTCCACACTGGATCATGGATGAATTCTTCGGGTAATTCCACAAACACAGGATAGCGGCATGTCCTACTCGAACGATGTCTCAGCAATGTTGTCGGACTGTCCTGCCACTTGATCAGAAGCTTTTCCCCACTTCTTGTACCCGTGATAACGATTTAGCTACCTCTTTCACCGAGTCAACATAGTGGTCAGGAGAACACGAGTGGCAAGGTGTGTAGACGATGCGTTGATTTGGGATCCCACAGAAGCCAACAAAGTCGTGATCTGAAAAAGCTGACATGGAAAATTATTGGAAATTGTAGCGAGAATCAACTGCCTAACAGCGCTCTGGGCTGCGTTTTCGTGCGCTGGGTTCTTTGTCGGGCTGCTTTTTCGTGCAGAGGACGATGAGAAGTTCGTGAATGGACGGCCATCAGCTGCTACAGGGCAGCTGAAGTATTGTAGCGCCAAAGGACGCACGCAGCATTTTTCTGTTATGATCTAGAACACGCCGTGTGGAATGAATAGAGAATGGAGCCTTCTGCACAGATTATAATCTTATCTTATTCACCTTTTAGACGAAACACTCCGCAGAACTAAACAAAGTAGGCTAAATCGACCCAGGTAGCGTAATCCTTCCCTACAGTGCTCGCGATATCATATTGCGCAGCTTGCGAGGCACTGAGCGCAGTCGAGAAATTTGCGCGAGACAGATGGGCAGCGCCGGAGCCCGTCGTGTTGAAGTCCGCGAAGAGGATGTGGTCAGTGTTCGGAGCTGTAGGGTTCCAGACCGACCATAGGGCAGTCTGAAGCCCTGCGTTGACCACGGTGTTTTTGAAGATCACCCTGGGCAGAGATGAGCTTCCTAGTCAGAATGAAGAGCAACAGATGCATACTTGGCGTAATTGCCCCATGGCCGACCAAAGAAGATCTGGCCGGAGGGGTCCGATTTGGCATCGGAGGCGATGACGACGGTGTTATGGTCGAACACATCTGGCAAAGTTATAAGCCCGTTAGCCTGATCTGAGAAATTTGCGCTCACAGCTATTGGCATCATCCGACTGGCGGCCACTTGCAGTGATGCATCCTTTCCCGTTCACGGCGATAGTGTTTCCACCAAAGTAGGCAGAAGCCTTGCGTCCGAAGATGAAGTCTACAGCGCCCTGAGAATGAAATCTCAGCTGTGGGTCCCTGTACCAAAGAAGCACAGACCTCAATGTAGCTTTTGAGATACACCTGGTTGCCCTGGTTCGCATAGACCGTGTCCTGATATCCGAAGAACCCACACGCATACATTCCCACACGGGTCCCGTACTGGCTGATCGCGATCGCCTGCGCGCCGACTCCAAACGTGTTTTTGACGTTCACGTTGTACATCCGGAAGTCGTTCTTGTGCACGCGTAAGGTGCCGCTCGCGTCATCTGATCCCGCGGAGTTGAGCGACTGGCCGGCGGTGAGGACAACCTGGTTGGCGGTGTACGTCGACGTGTCCGTGGTGTATCCGTAGATCTGCAGCGGAAATGCCGAACCTCAGCCTTTGTTTGTTTTCTTTGGGGGAAACACGGGGCGAAACGCCAAGGGAGGTAAGGGGTAACGCACCGTCAGAGGACCGGCCCGCGTGATGTCCACCTGCTCCGCATAAGTCCCGGGGTACATGAAGATCGTCACGTTGCTACTCGAGTCGAGCGATTTCACCGCCGCGCTGAGCGTCGCGAACTCGCCGGAGGCGGACGTGCCGGCGCGCACGACGACCGCGCCGGCTGGGGGGGACGTGCGCGAGGCTCCGAGTGCCGAGCCGGCGCTGAACAGGACGAGGAACAGGGAGGAGGCGGAGATTGCAAGGCGCATTGAGGTGGAGAAAGTCAGGAGTTGGACTGCTGCCGGTATGTCGAAAGACTCATTTGCTTTTTATGCGCCACGGAAAGATCACCGCTTTACGTGCCGCTGCATCACAGATGTGTGCCCTGGCATGATGAATGTATACGTGAGGATCCCTCGCCGACCAGTCCTCGCGGTGTGATGCGCTAGCTTCGGTGTCTTTCTGGGCTCAAGTTGGTGCGGTGACGCGGTCGAGAGCCATCGAACGGCTGGAGAAGACCATTTGGAAGCTTACTGGGCGCCGATTGACCGTCTCTCGGACTTAGCATTTCGCATACTCGTAGTCCAGGCTGCCAGGAGCCTCGGCCAGCTGTAATCCTTGCCCTAGTTCCGGCCACCCTAACCGCGGCCCCATTTCCGACTCCTTCCTGCGAGTTGTCCAGTCGACAGTTTGCGTTACGGGTGCAAAGATCGAGAGGGTGGAATTCAATTCTGCTGTTCCCAGCTCCCGTTTGAGAGACGCTACAGGAATTTGGATGCGCACGCCATCCACGACGGTGAAGGAAAGAGTGGCAACGACGGATTCGCACGTTTGTCGAGCCCACGTGTCGATGTCCGATCGTGCCGAAACCGGACCGGACTTGACGTTTACGAGGAACAACACGCGGACTGCTGTCGCGCTCATCGCGACCATGTAGGGCGAACTCGCCGCGCTCGTTGGCAGTGTTACTCAGCCCTAAATTTACAGCTCTGCAGGGTTCACAAGTATAATCACGTACATTCTGTGTTCGTTAAATGAGAGGGAAACGAAAGACCCGCGGCGGCTCGCTGGTCGACAGGGCTGACTGGGACCTCCTGGAGCTCTGAGAGGAAACCTTCTATGCGTTTCGTATTAGGTTTCTTTAGAGGTCCTCTGGGTCCTCACGTGGTACATTCAATATTTTGCCTATTTGTTGTTATCTCTCCCCCACCAATGAATGAGTTTCTGCGATGACGAAACCGGCTGTTTTGTCAACAAGTTCTGTCATTTTTGAACCAGAGAACTGCTTCCAGCGCGATGAAACAATTCCCTGATCTCTGGATAGAGAGAAAGACTTGGCTCGAACTTCGTTTCGAGAACGTCTCTCAGCGTTCTATTCGGTGCTTCAGTGCAACTTATGTCTTGAAACTGGGAATATCTCAGTCCCCAAACAGAAGTAGCTTGAGAGATCGAAAGGTTCTCGTGATCGTGTGCACAATCACGAGCTGTGACTCAGCACCATCACGCACCTCTTGACTTCCTTCTGCATGCTTCCAGCATTCAGCCGCGTCTTCCGTTCTTCTTCAGCGCTGGCTGCGCTATCAAGCACATTGTCCGGCTCCGAATTTCTGTCAAATGGGCGTTTTCCGCGTGCTACCTTGCCCAGGTCAGCCTATTTATAGCTTTCGTCACGGCCATCGTGGGGCTGTGGAGCATGGCCGAACAAGGAGACGCGTGAATTAGCATATGTTGCGAACCCAGTTTCTGAATCATTGAGTCCAGATGGCAGCAATTATGCCTCTCACGACTGTTCAAAAGCATCGCGCGAGCATATGAACCGCGCTTATCTGTGCGCGTCATTGCAGTGGAGATAGGACAATCAAGTACATGCGAGGCTTTGGAGAGCGCTCACTGAGTGCGGACATTGAATGCGAGCAGATAAAAAGCTGCCAACTGTGAGCAGGACATCCAAGGTCCTATCCAGGTTCTCTCCCTTTCCAGCTCACAATGGTCTTTGCCTCTGCCCTCGTCTCGCTCCTCCTCGCCGCTGCTGCCCTCGCGGCTCCCCGCAGCAACATCGGAGGCCGCCAGGCCCGCCGCCGCATGTCTGGCCCGCGTCTCCCGTCTGAGGGCCCGCACGCGAACCTCATCTCCAACTCGACCTCCCAGGTCTCCTACAGCCAGAACTGGGCCGGAGCCAGTTTCGAGAGCCCCTCGGGCACGTACACCTCCGTCACCGGCACCTTCACCGTCCCTACCCCCAAGTCACCCGGCGGTTCGGGCAGCTACGCGGCCTCCGCCTGGGTCGGCATTGACGGCGACACCTGCTCGAGCGGCATCATGCAGACTGGCATCGACTTCAACGTCGACAGCGGCCGCGTCTCCTTCGACGGTCAGTTTTTTGTTTGCATACAATCTCGCGTGCGCCGATCTGAAGTCGTGAATAGCCTGGTACGAGTTCTACCCCGCGTTTGCCAGCGACTTCTCCGGCTTCTCCGTCAGCGCTGGTGACGTGATCACCCTCGTCGCGACCAAGAAGTCCTCCACTTCCGGCAGCGTCTCCATCACCAACGAGTCCACCGGCAAGAGCGTGTCCAAGTCGCTCTCCGGCAGCGGCAAACTCTGTGGCGAGAACGCGGAGTGGATCGTTGAGGACTTTGAGGAGGGAAGCTCGCTCGTGCCGTTCGCCAACTTCGGCACTGTCACGTTCACCAATGCCAAGGCTACTCTCGCCTCGGGTGGAACCGTCGGACCGAGCGGCGCACAGCTGCTTGACATTGAGCAGAACAGCATCCTGACCTCCGTCAGCACGACCTCCAGCTCTGTGACCGTCAAATACGTGTAAAGTTCTGTTGATCTGGTGGAATGTGCCGTCAGTTTGTTCACGTAGCCGCGCACTTCTTTGTAACAGAATTGTATTCAATCTCAAGCCCATTTATACAGCGAATGCTTCCCTTGTCCGGTGAGGAAGGATGTCCAGATCAAAAGGCAGTCAGGAGAAGGCTTTCCTCCATTGAGTCGAAGACTGGTCAGACCATTCTCTCTCAGACCCTTCTTTCGAGAGAGTCAATTCATTCAAAGCGTTCCTTTCTCCATTCCGTCAAAGTTATGATGATCTTCTGTCACTCAATAAGCATAACATTGGTGCATTAATATCAGTGCATTTCTGCCTGTGCCTATTGAGTCTTCCCAATTCATCGTACTCGACCTTTGAGAAACGGGCCACCTAATCGCAGGTGTTGCATCTGTCATCATCTGTGATATCACCATCGCTGCAGAGCTCAAGGCCAAACAGGGCAACTAGTCGCTTGGTGAAGAATCATGAACATCAGTCCGCACAGCCCTCCGAAACTACCACCACTTGAAGTTTGGCAGAGTCTTGGGCGTAGAGCCTAGCGTTTAGGATGTCGGGTCCAGACATTCACCGGATCATGGATGTTGGATGATCGTCAGGACATATTGTATCTGCGCGAGTCTCTCTCAACCTACATAAATAAGTCCATAGCTGCCGGCCTGGTGATCCTGAAAGGTCGCAGTAAAGTGAGCTCCGGCATAGGGACAAGGCTGAACGGACATAGCTGTGTCCACATAGCGCCCATGAACTCGACGATCAGCCGCCTAGTGGCTTCGATGCTCGTGATCTTCGACTTACGCTTGAAAGATCGTTACCCAACCCTTGAGAGAGGGAGTAATGGCCGGTGACTGTCTCATGCTGCCAGATTTTGGAAGCATCGAGCGTATTGCTAAGGTTGTGATAAAATTTGGTCGCATAGGCAGGGCGTGGCGCATCAGACAAAAGGCCGTCTCAAAGTATCTTGACGGCTTCCCATTTGAATGCAGCTCGAGACACGCAGTCGAATACATCATGCGCCTGAACGCTTTGGAGCTGTGCCGATGCAAGGAATGTTCCTGATTCCTTCTTCAGTTGGCCCTACTTTAGCGATGACTTGGACATTTTGAGTGGTTCGATCGTGTTTGTCAACGAGATGAACGAATTACGTGAAGCAGATGCTTGCATGTGATTTATGTGAAGGGAGATCATCAGCGTCGCATTGCTTGAGATGATAAGAGGAACTATAGTAGGCTGTGCGATTATTTGGGAATTTTGGCTCAGCTGCTATGAAGAAGGTACAATCGACTCTGAAAAGCGAAGTTATCCTCGATGCACGTACTTATAATTATAGCTTACCAATCAGTTATCACTTGATCAGTCGAGCTCATGGGTTATAACTCAAAATCTGACAGCTTAGATGATTAACGGAAGCTGATAGTCTACAACTTATCAGGCAGGTTATCCGAGCAGAGCACTTATTACTTAGATTACACAGTGAATGAGGTACATAGGAAGAAGGCTCTTATTCATTTACAAGCTGAGGGAGTTGATACCTTCTCAACAGTTTCTTGTACGGTACCTCCCCTTCTTTTTATTGATTTCATTGATTCCTTTTCACGACTCGAAGCTGATCTAGATAATGATGCAATCATTACATATCGTCACGGCGATCGAGAATTTCGGTCAATGAGACTCCGAGTTATCCATTACAGCGTTCAGCAACTGTGTCACTAGAAAAACATTCCAGATATTGACACAGTCCGACCGTGTTCACTTCCATGAGTAGGGGCACCTTACTCGTGGACGCAGATTTATCTCGAAGCTTGTGCTGAGCCATGATTTCGGAACGCAAATCTCCATGGAAGGCAAACTCCGCAGTAAATCTATTTTTTGTGGACCGTCTCACTGTTACAACGACCCCGACCGATCGGCATTCAGATAGTCTTCTCGTCATCTGCTGACTCGTCCGGCTACCCGTGCTGCGCCGCTTGACGTCCGTTGTTAGATGGGATATTGAACTGGCCCGTTACGGCGAGCGCGAGCCACGCGAGAGAGCTATATCTGACCGATACTACCATCTCCGGTGGAGTTCTATCATTGAAAATACGACATTCAACGATTCTCGTAGCTCAACGTGGGTGCCGGTGCATGTGGGCGGAGAACTCACATGGACCTCAGTGGGGTATCTATCGACTTCAGCATGCGGGACGAAGTAGATAAGCCGTACAACGGAAATGACCACTAGATCAGTATAAAACGCAAGGCTGGTGAGCCTGGTGATTTCCAAGGTCCCACCTCGGTATCCTCTCAGCTTCTCCCACAACCAAAGTTGAAAATGGTCTTCGCCTCCGCCCTCGTTTCGCTCCTCCTCGCCGCCGCCGCCCTCGCGGTTCCGCGTAGCAACATCGAAGGCCGCCAGGCCCGCCGCCGCATGTCCGGCCCGCGTCTTACGTCTCAAGGCCCCGCGGCGGCGAACCAGATCTCCAACGCGACCTCGCACGTGGCATTCAGCACGAACTGGGCGGGTGCCAGTCTCGAGAGTCCCTCGGGCACGTACACCTCCGTCACCGGCACCTTCACCGTCCCTACCCCTAAGTCCCCCGGTGGCTCGGGCAGCTTCGCTGCCTCGGCGTGGGTCGGCATTGACGGCGACACCTGCTCAAGCGCGATCATGCAGACCGGCATCGACTTCAACATCGACAACGGCGTTGTCTCCTATGATGGTGCATTTTCTGCGTCCCATTTGGCGTTTGGGTTTCTCACTGACGCATTAATTAGCCTGGTACGAGTACTACCCCGCGTTTGCCAGCGACTTCTCCGGCTTCTCCGTCAGCGCTGGTGACGTGATCACTCTCGTTGCGACCAAGTCCTCCACGACCTCCGGCAGCGTCTCGATCACCAACGAGTCCACCGGCAAGACCGTGTCCAAGTCGCTCACCGGCAGCGCCACGCTCTGTGGCCAAAACGCGGAGTGGATCGTTGAGGACTTTGAGGAGGGTAACTCGCTCGTGCCGTTCGCCAACTTCGGCACTGTCACGTTCACCAATGCCAAGGCCACTCTCGCGTCGGGTGGAACCGTCGGACCGAGTGGCGCGCAGCTGCTCGACATCGAGCAGAACAGCGTCCTCACCTCCGTTAGCGCGACCACGAGCTCTGTGACTGTTAAATACGTTTGAGTGACGAGACACAGCGATGGGTATGTAGAATTTGTGTTCATCGAAATATCCAACGGCCTCCCTTTCTCGCAAGTCAATGACACAGAATTCGACCATTAGTGTCTGTGTTGAGTCCTCAAGTGGGCCTCGCGAACACAGATTGTTGGCCTCAACTGTCTATCTTTTGAGCATGTCAGCAGGATCTCTCCCATGAATTTTCCGCGCTCCATATTCACCACCAGACCGGTGTTGACCACTTTTTCCACTTACTTGGATCACATGACCGGACCGGACTTTTTCAACCGTAAAGGGTGGCAGTGTCGCCATCAACTGCCATACAGCTTGCAGTGATCTGAGGCTCAATCTCCACTGGCAACAAATGAATGTTGAGTGTAATGGTGAAATAGTCGACAGCAAACTTTAGACGGTCCTTCAAGCCCATAAGATGACGACAAATTCAGCAGGGACGATGTTTCGTACTGTATCGGCCAAGATACGCCGATATGACAATGGGACAGACATTCGCGAAAGGAACGCTTCAATTTTATCTGCCTCTCTTGTTTTCTTCATTTACTTGCGGATATGGGTTTCGATAGATTTCATGGTTATTGCATTAACAGCAAATTCAAGGCATCGAGCCTGGGGGGCTGGCTTGAGTTTCCAATTTTCTTCGCCTCCTAGTCAGTTCCATCGTCTGGCAATCGCATCAGGAGTTCCCGTCGTTTTTGCCTCCGCCATAATTCGTCTCACAGTCTATATCGAGCTTGAGCTTCTTGGGATTCCTCTTCCTGCCGGCCTCGCACATCGGCTTCGAGGCGATCCGATCGGCGCAGTCCTCAAAGCATCCGACAGAATCATTTTCTTCACTTTTTACTACTCTGCGCGACATCTGCTTTCCGATCCACGTTTCGAATAGGATGCCCATATATATACTGCGATCAGCTGTCAGACGCGTCACCGTTCCAGAGAGAAAGAGCGAGAAGGGACAATATAGCGCATATCTTCCAGCACTACACGTATTTTTAGATGATAATGGTATTCATGGCCACGATCTATGGACGAAGTAGGGTGTTCCTATTCTGAACATTGCTCAAGTCGAGATTGTGTCAAAGGAATCAATTTGTTTGAGTCATCTACCAGTAGTTTCCTGCTTTTGAATAGAAGCATGCCGGGGAGAGTACTAGCGGTAGCGACCACGCTATAGAACTTTCCGGATATAGTGATGCACTCCGACTCTCGCGACGCACATAAAGATCAGTGTCGAGTCACTTTCATTGTTTTTCTGTTTGCATCATGCGCACTGACGACTCTGCTGTCGGCCGGGCGCGAGCTAACAAAATACAGGTCAGCTACTACGCAACAGCAGCAGGATTAATAAAAATGCGAGGGTTCAACTGCTCCGGGACGTATCGGGCAGCAGAAGGAGCCGGTTGTGGGGGACGGGAGTGTCCAAGTGTCGGGGACAATGGCCGGAGTCGAAGGCGAGGTACGAGACTAAAGCGGAGCGTGTCGAAGGCTTGAATTTGAAAGGTAGTCCAAAATCTGTCTATTTTTGCAAGTAAAGACATACAGGGTTTTATAGAGTAAAGATAGGCATATCTCGGTGTCTAAATAATAAGGAAACATGTGGGAGATAGACTGAAGAAAGCTCGGCGTCATATGGGAAGGGGATGGCTAAGAACAGTGCTGAATGGTTTTTGTCGAAGGGAGCACAAAGTCCGCCAAATTGATCTTGGCGTCGTCTAAGCGAGCTCAGCTGAGCCTGGTACACGGAGCAACATGCGCCAAGTCGTTAGAAATCGTGCGGTGGTGTCGTCCGCAGCCGTGAATCGATGTGGTTACAGGAAAAATAGTTGCGCCGCTGAATTCAGACGCTATTGATCACGTACCGCCACCTGTCAATCACGGACCGGCTTGTCCGAGACTCGTCCTCGACCGTCATCTGTCTTCGACTTGCGTATATGCGCAAGCGGGCGCGTCATCCTCCCGACTGAAAATATGACCGTCCTCGGTCATTCGAAGGTGCGTGGGTCTGTTGAAAGTAGATCAAGGTCGACAAGAAAGGCTCAGTAAATCATCATAGCCTTGGCTCTGAAGAACCGCGCAATACGACGAC